TGTTGTGTTAATCTAGTTGTCTCTAGAAATTGTTTATGTATTTTTGCACATTTTTCATGTGGATTAGGAAGTTTTGAAAACCGTTTTGTGGTTAGGTGGTTAGGAAAACCGTTGAGTGGTTAGTTAGTTTTATTTTCAGAAAAATGTGATGTATTTGCTTATAAATTAAACCAGAAAATGTAGAGGGTGTGAACTACTAAAAAAATTCTTCCATTTTTGTTGGCGTTTAAAATTTGGTTTTGAAAACCAACAGGATCTAGATCAATGGAGATAGAGCTGCAAATAAGTTGAGCTTCAGTGAGCTTAAATGATGTTATGTTCAACTAATGAAGTAAATGGGCTAAAATTTTAGTTTATGCTTAATTTTTTTGTTTAGCTAGCCGAACATGAGCTATTCAAGAACACGAAGCTTACTTAAAGTCTAATATAAATTAATATATATAGATAGATGGATAGGTAGATAGATAGATAATGCATAAAGCATTTCTGTATGAACTGAGCCAGGATGTCTGGCCTTTTTTATATGAGATTGTGAGTGGCCTTGATTTTTGCTTGCATCATCTCCAAAATTATCATTGCCCTATCCAGTATCTATAAATTCTTATATTCAGTTTGTTATTTTTTCTAGGTTGAAGCCTTCTGATGGGAAGAATACATTGAGTTTGAAGAGACAGAAAGTGAGGCGTTTTATCTTCTATTCTCCACTTTTTATTATTTCTTGATTAACCAAAAGCTCTCTTATCCGAGCTTCTAAAATTGTTCAATAACACAAACTTCTGATTAATCGTTGGTGTCATGGTAAAGTAATATGGTGGTTATATTAAACATTTTTCATTTCCTTTTTTAAATTCCTTCTATTTCTCATACTGCTTTTAGATCATGTGTGCTTAACATTTTAGCATATTGTTTTGACTTCCTATTTTTGCCTTCTTCACCCTTTAGTGTTTCTAGGATTTTCTTTTGGGTATGCTCCATTATAACATACACTTTAGTGGAATAGTTTCCATGTGGGTTGTCTGTATTTTTTTTGGGCGTTTGTCATTCGCTGTACACCTTGAATGCTCTTGTGGCTGTGAAAGGGTTAAAATGTTATACAAGAACTCTTCATAAAATTTTTTAATCTGTTCTAAATTTAAAATAACACATTCATTTCCTATTCTACATGATGGAGACTTTATCGCTTCCATAATAATCCCTTTTGGTAACTTGGGGGTTTTGCGTGATTTACTTTCATTATGCGTTGACCAATTAGTGAATAGAAGAATTAAACATCATTGGCTTGTAAAGAAAGTGAAACCTGTATATTTTTTATATTAAGTGTGCTAATTAACCAAATCTGGCTCAAAAAATTTAATCCTGAATACTGTTGTTTGGTTGCTTATATTAATGAAATCTTGCGATGATTTTGATAGGAAGGAGACCAATCAGTTTACAGTTTTGTTAATTTGGGCTTTCTAATGATTTATTTTTTTATATTTTTTATCTTTAACATTTCATTGATTTGCTTAATATTTTTTGTTAATTAAAATGGCATTTTACGCAATGCTTGGCTTGTAATGTTTGTGTTTTAAACATTCCTAATTGGGTCAAATCACAAAATTGCGCCCTCCTTAATCCTATAGTTTTGTAGTGCTTCAATTTGGTCCCCTTAATCCTAGAGTTTTGTAGTGCTTCAATTTGGTCCCCTTACTATTAAAAATTGATCTCAATTGATCCCTTAGAGACTCAATTGAGACCAATTTTGTATAGTTGAGGGACTAAATTGATACAAATTTTGTTTCATAATTTCCAACGAGGGAGTAGGGACTAAATGAGATCAATTTTCAATAGTCGAAGGAATAAATTGAAGCACCGAAAAAATTTGGGACTAATTTGCCCACATTTAAATAGTCTGAGGTTCATTTTGAGTATTATTCCATTGCTAATTGTTATACACGATGCCACAACGTGGCAGACTCAGGATGTTGTTCTTTTGGATGAAGAAGATCTACAACCAAAGGATCTAGACAGATATGCTTCTGATGACAGGTCTTCCATTTTCTGTTGAATTATAAAAAAAAAAGCTATTCGAGCTTTTCGGTTTCTCATTTACTTGGTCTGCAATATTTTAATGATTTTTTTTTTCAGGAAGGAAACTAAGATTTATTATCCATCAAGGTACATCTCATAGACAAGCATTCAACACCTACTTATTTAGTTCTTTATTTGATGGAACTTTTTTTTTTTGCTTGTACTCTGTTCCTGAAGGGATCATCCTGAGGCTGTTGAGCTTTCTTTCTCAGACTTGAAATGCCTGGAGTCAGAACAGTATATATCGTCGCCTATAATGAACTTCTATATTCGGTGAGCAATCATCAGTTTATGGTTTCTTTACCAGTCTATCTACTTTGGAGAGGCATTTGTTTATTACTTGGAAGGGGAAAAGTGTCAAAATGGTCCCCAACTCTTTGTAGGGGACCATTTTAGTCCCAAAGTTTATTAAAGTGCCGCTATAGTCCCCAGACTCTTCTAATGGGGGCTAAATTAGTTCTCTCAGGGACTGTGTCAACTCATATTAAAAGAATGGGGACTGATTTGGAACTTTGAAAGATTGTTGATCTAAAATGACGCCATGTGAATAGTCAGGAGACTATTTTGAGACTTTGCTCTATTTGGAAGTATAGAATTACCCTAGTATCTAGAGCAGTGGTTTTGCTGTTTCTATTGTGATTTGTAGGTCATTGATTTGAGTTACGAAAACAGCATATCCTCAAATATAGGCTCAAGGTGCTCATCAAAACCCTAGTTCCTCGCATTGACAGAAGCTTCTTGAACTGAAAAAGGCCCTTTATAAGATCACGTTGGATTCTGTGCTGGATTTGTTCTTCACAAGTTGAATACCATCACATGATTTACCAGTTCTAAGGTTAAACTGATTACATATGATGATGATCGTGATTAGAATGGACATTTTCTTGTGAATATATTTAGTACAAACTCAAACTACACCAAATCGTCGTAACTATTTCCAAAGGCACTAGCCATCTCCGGTGCCCAAGAAGTCTGTGCATGTAGGAATGACCACTGCTTTATGGATGAGAGAAATGTTGAAGTAGTCCCCTGATTTTTTTGTAATGGGTCATTTTAGTCCCAAAGTAGTTCCCTGATTTCTTTTGCAATGGGTCATTTTGCAATGTGTCAATTTAATTCTCTGCCTCTTTTTATATGGGTTAAAGTAGTCCCTATGGAGGACTGTTTCAGCCCTAAGTTAAACATTCTGGGGATTAATATAACAATTTTATTGACCCTGGGACCAAAATGGCCCCATAAAATTTGGGGACTATTTTGGCACTTTACTCCTTTATGGATTAAGGTTATAATTTATGCTACAATACCTTTAACTTCTTGTTTTATGACTTGGAATAGCAAGGTCTAATAAGTTATGTGAACTGGAAAAAATTGGTCTGCTTGGCCCGCACAACAGCTCTGAGTTTATTTCATTCCTAGAGTCTAGCTGTTTGGTACAGAATTTTTTCTTTAGGATGGGCTTTACATCTACTTGATAGTGATTGTAAAATAATCCTCTAAGTTTGACACATTTTTTCTGCGTTTTTGTTACCTATTTTGTTCCATCTTGTTAGAATTCTGTGGTATAACTTAGAATTGAGCTTACTTGAATGTTGAAAAAGTAGCCTATTCGCCAGTTGCTTGCGTTGCTTCTTGTTTCTATGTCGAAGGAACTAATTTTTCATGGATTAGCAGTTATTAAAAAGATAGAAACTGTCAGCAGCCTAGTGTAATATTCCATGTTATCTACACAATCATTTTCAGTATTTTATTTTGTAGTCGATGCTTTACTATTTGCACATTTTCTTTTGTTGCATGTTGTGCATATACTTCATAATCTGGGACTTTGAAAATAACATCCTACTTATATTATTAAGATCTGGTGACAAGGCTGATTCAGCTGATCATTTGGGCTCATTTCTTTAGTGAGCCTGCCCATTTATTCCATTTAGATTTTTGGAACTATTTTTTTTTTCTTTGCTTTAATTTGGGATCTGGTTACCTGACAGACCTGTCCTTTGTTTTCCTTCAATTATTAAAATATTGACTGTTTGGGCTAAAGATATGACGGGGGAGCTAATTCCCACCCAGGCAGGATCGGGTGGGATTTCCGCCACATACCTGATTTTTCCAGCCTGCACCTATGGCCAGTCATTGGGGCCCCCTTTTTTGCTTTATTTAAAATGAGGATTTATTGTTGTCTTACTGTAAGTATTATGTGAGGAGAACTGTAAGGACATATTTTGCTTGATTTTTATACAATTTGGAGCTTATTTATCCGTATTTTTGCACTTAGGAGTGCTGTAGCTTACTTCTTCAAACAGTGAGCCTTTATCTTGATCAAGAGTAGGTGGTAGAACCTCCCGACGTCCATCTTTCATTGGCCAAGCCGCTGACCCCTTCTTTTTTGATTTTTTATTATTCCTCCAGGACAGCAGCCATTGCTGCTCCCATCTTCCAAATCTTAATTGGTTCTTATATTTACCCCTTCTCTTTATTCTAAAAACATCCCCAACCCTCATATTGATTTTTATACACCAACTAGGATGTCAGGATATGATTAAATTAACTATGGAAGTTTCACCACATCAGTAATTGCAAATGCAATAGATTAGTTGTACTGATCAGCAATTGAATATTATGTAAAGATAGGATGTAATATATTGATTATAAATTTGATGTCTGTCTCTATTTTGTTTGCTCATTATACTCGATTAACAACCCACCAGGACTTATTAATGTGATTCTTTTATAAAGTGTTTGTTTGTAGTTTTCGAGAGCCGAGAAAGGTTGGTTTGATGCATTTTTTTCAGGTATTCTGAACTAAGCTTGCCCAAGCTCTGATATTGCCTTATTGAAAGTTCTTTCTAAACATATGTATAGATCCTTACATATGTTTTCTGTACAAGGTGAGAGATGACTTCTGATCAATCAATTGTTTCATGTCAGATTTCTTTTTTTGTTTTGCTCATACAATCATTCAAACTTCTTCTGGGCCATTTTAAAAACTGCAAGCCACATCCTACCTTGATTTATTTATGTTTTTTTTTCCACATCTTGCGTGCTTTTCTTTTAGCTTTCTTGTCGGGTGTGAGAACAAGTTTACCGGAAACTGGAATTGTGAATATACTTTATTGTATCTGACGCGAGAGCTTACCTTAAAAGAAAATACTACGGTATTGTAGCTGCTACAGTACCATAGAAATATTATTGCGGGAGGCACCGAAATAACCCAGTTTTTCTTATGTTTTTTTTTCCTATTGTTCTTCATTCTTTTTTAGTCATTTCCTATATATTTGTTGTATTAGGGTTTGGAAGTTCGTTGTGTTTTGTTTAGGACAGCCGCCATCATCCGTTTTCTCCCTTCGAGGACTGTATCCAAGGGCTTTAGTGGTGCTCCTGCATCTCTCTTCAGAGTCTCTCTGTCCCTGCTGCAACCCTCCAGACAACTTCCTGTAGCTGACTTCCTTGCCGTTCCCTCTTCCCCTTGCTGTCCGTCTCCTATTTTCACTGCCGCCGCTTGTCAACTCATCCACTTACTCTCCACTGCCAGAATCTGCACCTATACCTAGCCCCCTAAATGCCCTCATCTTGGACAACCACGCCACATCAATATCAGGTGCGTGCTTGCTGTTCGGGACCCTGGAAACTGTCATTTTTGCCATTTTCTATTTGCTGACCACCTCGTCCACTTTCCCACCACCTTCTAACCCTCACCGATCCATCTCCACCAACCTTGATCAAACCCTAGCCATGTGTCGTGTGTCAGGTGTGTTGTTATTTTCTATTTCCGTTTACTTTGTTGTAATTTTCCTTTCAATATATGAGCTGTAACATCTTGATCAGTTTTCCAGCAATAATGTTTGATTTTTTTTTAATTATGATTTGGGTTAATTTCGATATCAGTATCCACTTTTCTTACTTGCTTTTATTTCCGGTTTCCTTTGGTTTCGCCTTTTCCTTTCTCAAAGATTGAAGAACTCTTTAGTTGGTTGTTTGGGAATGAATGATTTATTGCTGAAGATTTTTTGCAGTTTTTAGACGTGAGATATTTTAACCATGCTTGCTTGCTTTGATAGGTACCTTCAGAGGTCACTCTCTTCTGTTAACAAGACCAAAGGCCAATACTATTTCTTTAACACTTACTTCTTTGGAAAACTTGAGGATGCATTTTCATCAACGGTAGGCCTCATTGTTGCATGCTTCAGGGTTCAGTTCTTAAAGACGTTAGAGATTCTGTATATTTTCTTCAAAAATGTCAACACCTTTTAAAAACTTCATAAATTTATTCAGTATTCCTAGATACTAATCTAAAATGTCTGTTCCATATTTCCTAGGGTGATAGATTTTCGAAACTGAGACGGTGGTGGAAAGGTGTAGACTTATTTGAGAAGGCATATATCTTTTTGCCAATCCATAAAGAGTAAGCTGCCTTAGATGATCTATAAGTGAATCATATTTGCTGAATTATATGTATATATACGTGGTATCGGTTCAATTTTTCTGCTGAAATATTTCCAATCTGTGTAAATGATGCCCTTTCACAAATCACTTTTTTTTTTCCTTGCCGATCATATCACTTTTCGCAAGCAGTCACTTAAAATGCTTTCACTGCAGTTATGAGTCAAATCCCCAATTAGCTTTTGTTTAGCCACATAATTCTAACAACAACAAAGACTACCAAGATTGTAATATGCAAATACTAATATAAATCTTATAATTTAAAAAAAAAAAGGATGCACATAACATCCATTACTAAAACTTGATGATGTTCATTACAAATGAATTGTGTAGGTCCTACAAGCAAGGTTGATAACAAGATAACATAAGTTGACTTGACTGACCATGACTTGTCGAGCCTAGTGGAAATTTAAGAAGGCATCATTTGACAATCTTGTCATTGCTGCTTGCCCCACTTTATGTTGACTATATCTTCAAAATGTAGTTTATTTACAGAACTAGCTCCCATAAATTAAATGAACTAGTAGACCTATGCATTTGCGCATGATATGATCATATTGTTGAGAATTTGATGAATGTGATAATTATGGGCTGAAGTTTTCTTGTGAATTTTGATATTTTATTAGGAATATGACAAATGGAGGTAAGGGAGTGTTAGTTTTATAAATAGCAAAGAATTGGGGATAGATGTGAAATCGTCATATAAGCTTATCATGGTAGTAGAATGCGTACTATTTGAACAAAATGTAAACTTTGGAGATTAGGTTAAAAATAAGAAATGGTTTGTTTTTAGATTTATATTCATAAAAAATCAAACTAGTCACTAGTGAATCATCACCATAAGGCAAAATATCATCTTCATTATAATTTCTATCTTCCACATCATAATCTTCTTCATGCCCTTATCATTTTTATTTTTATTTATAAGTGTGCTAGGCCTAAATGAAGATTCCTTATTTGTTCTTTTCGATCATTCTTGAAATTTTGTTGTTTCTTTCATAGGCACTATTAGTTGTCATCATAGTATTCCGTGCCAACTATGTTAAACCGAACATTAGTTTATTCTCATTATTTGACTAAACATCCAATTTCTTTGTTAGCCACTCATTAGCATCATATCTATGTCATTGAAACTCTAATTTAACACTTTTCATTTTACTTTTTTGCTTAATATACCAAGAAATGCTAACTTCTCTATTCTAAGAATATGAAGTCCAGTTATGTTGAATCTAGATGGTCGGAGTGTCTATTGTATAGGGCTGCGTATGAATAGAGCTGCCAATTGGGCCTCATAAACTCCCAAGTAATAAATTGAATTGAAGTCAACTTATAGTATTGAGTTGATTCTTAGCTTCAAATCAAAATGGGTTGACCTTGTGCTTAAAGCTCATTTCTCGGCCCGACTAATGTAACTTGAGCGATCATATAATAATTATTATTTACGTATGCTTGATCTATTATTACTGCTACTAGTATTACATGCTTTATATGTTTAATATTAATTGCACAATGCACAAGTTTCAACCCTAAATGATTTTCATTCCTTAAAGCACCATATTTTCCATCACATTACATACAGGGGTGTAAACGAACCGAACACGAACGAATAGAGCTCGTTTTTGTGTTTGGTTCGTTTGAAATTAAGTGTGTTTGAAATAAGCTCGTGTTTGAAATTGTTCGTGAAGTTACTGTTCGTGTTCGGTTTGATTTGTTTGAAATGTGTTTGAAATTTGTTTGAAATATTCAAGTTGTTAGAATTGTTCTAAATCTTACGAATTTATTTGTATTGTTCGAATTGTTTAAAATCTTTCTAAAGCTTAAACCTGTATGAAATTATTGCTTAAACATATATGAATCACAACACAAATGCATAATGGCCAAAACACAACTCACAATAAAACCATAATATCATATCCCATCAATAAAAAATTCAAATATAGAGGCAATATGAGAGATTTCACTCCCCAAAACTTCAAAAACTAGGTTTCATTCAAAGATACTAAATAAATCTAATAGAATATAAGAAAATTTAAGTTAAGAGACGAACCTGAAGATTAATAAAAAATTATAATATTTAATATAACCTAAGAGACGAATATGAAGATCATATTATAATTTATAATATTTATTTTATAAAAATATGATAAATTTTTAGATTATATAATTATTTTTAAAATATGATAAATTTATTATTTATAATCATTTAAACTATTTTATATTTCGAACAATAACGATTCAAACACGATCAAACAAATGAATGTTCGTGTTTGGCTCGTTTATAAATTGAACAATTTGGTTGTGTTCGTCTCATTTGATTATCGAACGAATCGAACACGAACTTCCTGATGAGTCGAACACGAACTATTCGCGAACAACGAGCTTTTTTGGCAGCCCTAATTGCATAACCATCTTTGTTTTCTATGTTCACGGTAAGTAAATTTTCAGTCTTCTTGATCTTCTTGGTTGCAACTCTAATACCTATATCTCTATCCCTTCTCCTTAATCTTTCACAACTGAAAAGGCTAATCACTATAGGACTTATTGCTGGGTTCTGTTGTTAACTAAAACTGGTTGCTAGTGTCATTGTGAACAAGATCCACAACATCCTTGCATTTTGCTTCTTTTATCAAAGAATTCATGTTATCAATATGTTGGTTTGTTGATGGTAAGCTATAAAGAAATCCAAATTAATGTAATTGAGAAAATGGGTTGGTTAGAGCTCCATGCACGGCTTGATTTCAAAATTGGGTTGAGATCAAGCTGCATACTCTCAAATTTTGACTTTTGTTTTAGCCCAAAAAATAAGCTCATACTAAGGGCCTGTTTGGGGCAGCTTATTTGGTGCGGTGGCGTTTTGAAAACGCACCTGATCTGTTTGGGTAAACTGAGTTTTGACAGCTTATGCATTTTCAAAACGCTGAAAACAACATTTTCACACTGCACCTATCTAGGTGTAGTGACAACTTTCTAAAGTTTGTCTTTTCTAATGTATTGCTTTTCCAAAAAAATAAAAATTTGTAATAGCCACCGCACCTAGCTTATTCAGATATTATTTTTAATCAGCTTATCAACTTATTATTTAATAAGCTGCAGCTGTCTCAAACAGACCCTAAGTTTGGGTTGAGTTTGAGCTTTCTTAGGTTCAGCTTTGATAGGAGGCATTTGAGAAGCAGATCTTGCGAGGAGGTAGTTGTACAATAACGAAAAAATGGAAACATGGAAGGCCGACAATGTTTGGAAGGGGATAAGCATTTTTCGGTGGCTGTCTCTGCTGAAAACAACAATCCAATGGTGATTTTTCGGGGTATGGGCAGCGAGGAGGTTTCACGAGCTATTCCTGAGTAAGATACATATATACTTCTTGTAAAAGAAAAATGATACATCACTCCTTAGAATAAAAATCAAAGATAACAATCTCCACAAAGCAAAAGTTTCATAAACCAGAAAATAATACCATATAAATAGTTTCCTAAAAACAAATAACCTAATTAGAAAATCGAGGATAGGAAAGAAATAAAAAAGAAGAAGAATTAATGCACTGAAATAAAGAAATATCGGCCACAACACTCTTGCATTTGCGGGAATTCCAACGATCCTGCAAATGGTATCAAGCTCGCTCATCTCAATTGAAAGGTTTTTTTTATGAGCCTTTTTGGATGGCTTTGGTCTCTTAAAAATGTTTTTAATGCGCTTGAAGCCCATCACTGATTGCGAGGAGGTTCCACGAGCTATTCCTGAGCAAGTTACATATACACTTCTTGTAAAAGGAAAATGATACATCACTCCTTAGAATAGAAATCAAAGATAACAATCTTCACAAAACAGAAGTTTAATAATAAAAAAAAATAATACCATATAAATAGTTCTCTTGAAACAAATAACCTAACTAGAAAACAAAGGATAGGAAAAAATAGTACTTTGAAATAAGGAATAGTGGCCACAACACTCCTGCATTCGCGGGAATTCCCACTACCCTACAAATGGTACCAAACTCACTCATCCCAATTCAAAGGTCTTTTTATGGGCCCTTTTGCATGGTTTTGGTCTCTTAAAAATGTTACTAATGCGCATGAAGCCTATCACTGATTGCAAGTGAAACTCCACATAATTAAATGAGTTACATTGAGATACTTGTTAAGTCTTTTAAATCCATTTTCAAATCGATTTTCTTCTACGGAAGAGTTTTGGCTCACGTAGTATTCATTCTTAGTATCGAGGGCGTAGGTCTGGCATCCCCTGCTTGAAGGGATTTTTTTTTCTAATGATGCGGATTATAATTTTTAGCTAGCCTTATGTATAAAAAAATTTTGTAATTATCCTGGAGCATATCTTATCATTGGTAAGAATACCTTGAATATGTTTATGTCATTTGAGTAAAATTGATTTTATCATCGTTGATGTGGCATAGGCATTGGATCAAAGAAGAGGATTTGAGAAGAAATGAAGACTTAGTGGCTCATATGTTCATCATACAAAGTAGTATCAAATTCGCACTTAGTACAACTATTCTTCTTCTTAATTTCCTTGATTTAAATTCTTACCCGCAAAAATATTCATTGCCTTGTAATATGCCATATTAGGTTAATTTATGGAATTAAACCTGAAAGCAAAGCACTTCTAGAGTTGATTTTTTTTTTCATTCAAAATTAGCAAGCTGCAAAGCAGACCAATTCAATCGATTTAAGAACCTTGAATCAGCATCCATGTTAAAAGAAAAAAAAAATAATTAAAAAGTAAACAAATTCTTTCATCAAGGATAAAACTTCTTCAAAATAATACGATTCATGATCTTCATCAAGGAACATGATATCATCACAAGCAGTTCTCTGCATATTGAAAATATTTTATACCAATTTTGTTGTGTGGGGCATAAGCTAGCGGAATTGGACTAGTGGGGAGAGATCAAGGTAGTTTGTATTGATGTGTTGCTAGTTTCTTGTTTATTAAAAGGTTAAAAAACTG